CATCATAGAGTAAATCAGTCAAATCAACTTATCTTTTCAAGTTTGCTTAATATGAGTTTCCCTAATTTCTAGTTAATGAAAATCTTTTTTTTTTGTTTTGAAAGTCGACTGAAGGAGCAGCAGAGAATTCTGTTAATTTATTAGTTTTGTAAGAGACTAAACCAGCCTGTGAGCAGACTTCCCAGGATGCATTGTTGGAGAGTTAAAAGTCCACAGAGACTCTAGTCTGTGTGTAGTTTGAGAAACCAGACGTGGTAGAAACCTGCTATGTACTTTCATAATTTAAATTCATTTAATTAATGACATTACAGTTGATTCTTTTCAGAATAATCAGAACAATTCTCACAAAGGTTAGTGACTTAAGAAATATATAAAATCTTAAGACTGTAAGTTCTCAGTAAATGAGGAAGAGAGCCCTTAAATTTAGAAAATATAAAGAAAGTAGGTCTGTTTTCAGCCATTGACTATGTGTTTATATAACTTAATTTTCTCAAGTTCATTTAATCGTAGCTCAGCCAGTGTTACACTTTCACAACTTCCAACTAATTAATCATCTGAAGTGCAGTTAAATCACATTTTATAAGGGCAACTTAAGTTTCCAAGCTGAATGGATTTAAAGGAATTTACAGTAGAGTTTCTGCTGAATGCCACTCAAACAGGAGGAGATCCTATATTTGTTGGGGACTATTTTCAGCTGCACATGTTCGCCACACTTTTGCTTCACGAGTGAGTGTTTACAGCAGCAGAAAGATGTATATGGAAGTGGTTTAAAGTAAACTACAGTTCATGTTCATGAAAATGGAGCAGCATGCCACGCAATGCAACTGTGTGGCTCACTGATGAGGTTTTAATAGTTTGTGGACAACGGCTGAGTTCTGTGGCAGCATAGCATCCCCAGCGCCAGGTCCTGAATCAGCCCCTGTGAGTGCTGTATGTAGTATATGACTGGATTATTATCACTGGTGCGTTACAGTGTAAGAAAGGTTTTGATGTTGCAACTGAACCAGTGACAGAGATTAGATGAATAATCAGCAACTGTTGTTCGCTGATTAGTTATCTAATTATAATAATAAACTTTATTAGTACCGTTCAAAAGCAAAGTTACAAACTGCTTTACAATGAAAACATAATATAAAGTAATACGGACCAGAACTTAATATGTAACAAAATAGATCATTTAAATAAATACAGCAATTGTTAAGAGAAAGATTAAATAAAATAAAGCTTATGAAGATGATACTGAGTCTGACTACCTGATTCTCCAACAGAGAGTTCCGCGGCCGAACAGACCAGACAGCGAGAACCCAGTCACCTTTAGTAAGATCCTGCCAGAGGATGTGGAGCATGCATGATCAGACTCACAGGGAGTGAGCCGATTGCAGATAAAAGCAGGAGCCAGACCATTCAAGACTTTAAAAACAAATGATAAAATCTTGAAATCAACTAAATCAAGTGAGCTGCACCAGAGGTGGGCGTAGCGTGGTCGCTTCGGTTGGTACGTGTCTAAAGCCTGGCAGCAGTGTTTCATATCAGCTCGGATGTTTCGTCTGCTTCTACCAGAGTTAGAATACAAAACATTTATTAGCTTCTCATATGGTAATATTTACTGTTTTGTGAATTTAAGACGTGTAGGGTTTGGACTATTGAGCAAAGCAAGCAAATGATTTAAAGAGAAAAATTACCATAGATACTTTTGGAAACTATTTTCTGGCACTTTATAGACCAAACAATGACACATGGACACATTATTAGGAGGCTCTCGGGGTCCTCCCACAGGAAATCTTAAACAAACACTTGATTTCCTGCATTCTTGGGTATTTTTAAGTACCAGTTTGTGCTTTTTGGGCATCAGTTTATGGTGGAAACACATTTTCTTATGTAAAGAAAAACACAAAATGTAGGACTTGTGTACATGTTCTAATAACAACGGGGGTGTATCCCTTGTGTCGTCTATCTAAATCTATACAATCTGTTTGCCTGTGGCGGTAGACACCAACACATATCACAAGACAAAATCACATTTCAAAGAACGCAAGCTATTTCCATTATGAAACCTGCACTAACAGACGTTATTTGTCAGAAAGCGACTGTCCGTGCCCTGCAGTGAGCGTGCCGAACAACTGCAGCACTTCTGTAAAGTCCAAAGGTTTGCATCCTTCCCTGTGCATACAGCCTCTTAACCCCAACACCCCCCTCCCCTCCCTCCCGCTTTCCCTTTTCCTCTCTTTCACACACAAACACACACTATGCAGCCTGCAGGTTTTGACCTGTGAATAACTGCCCAGACACAGTCTAGTCAGTCAGCCAGTCGGGGAGGCAGGCCGAGGCGTCAGGGCCTACGCAGCTCCTGCAGGGCAATAACAGATGCTTATCATGTTTTACTGAGGGTAGTGGCGGCGGCGGAGGTGGTGGGGGGTGAATGTGGGACATTGGGGCCCTGTCGATGAATGGCCCTGACAATAAATGCCCTCAATCATGGGTAGGCATTGTACCTTAGAAAACAGAGGCATAGTTATGCCAGGAGGCTTATAATGGATTCAGATTCAGTCAGCAGTGTGTGTGTGTGTGTGTGTGTGTGTGTGTGTGTGTGTGTGAGCATATGTGTGTGTCTTAAAGGCAGAGGTATACAGAGCGCATGTGCACTCATACACCCACTGCAGCTTTTCAGCAGCTCATCCTCTTGCACATTCCAAGTAGAGGCAACAGCAAACAAATGGCTTAAGGTTCAAGTGAAGTATGTTTCATTCCGGCTTGGACGCTCTTAAGCCTTGGGTTGCGCTGCGAGCAGGGACAGGGGTTAGATGCAAGGTCAAAGAGGAGAGGATTACTCAAGATACACTTCAGATAAAAGTGTCAGTCCAATAATCAGCGGCGATCCATCACGAGGCAGGCCGTGCGTTTGGGTTGGTGCTGTCGACGGGGGCGGATAAAAAATAGCCTTCATGTGTGCCTAATAATGAAGATGAACCTTTGAAAAAGACAAATTCCTCTCGACGACTGCTCATTTGTAAAGAGCAAACGATGATTTAGAGTGCAGAGCTTATCACCGTTCTCCTCATTGTTACTTTGCTGAGAGTAACATTTTTCTCTTTGTCTCTCTCCAGCACATTTTTTCCCCTGAGATGAGGCTTGTTTTCCCTGCTGTTTGCTGAAATGCCTTCACAGCTACCAGTGAAGGTGGTAATTTGAAGTCCTGGCTCACTGCTCTCCAACCGAATTTAATTCACATTTTGGGGACAAATATGTGATGAATTTCAATGGAGCTACGTTTCACATACCATCACCCAGACCTCAACTTACAGCTTCGCTCTGCATGGGAGGCTTTAAAGATTACAATTATACACATATATTGCCAAAAAAGAGGCATTCTGATTGTTAAGAAGTTCAGTGTTGCTGTGAACTAAGTACATTGAGCACAATTTTCAAAGGGAAATATTGCAATTGTTGCTGCAATACATTTGTTTGATTGCTACTATAAGACTGCATTTAAGATGTAAAGGTTTAAAATACCTTTTGTACAGATAAAAATACCCAAAAGTTTAATTTTGCAATGTAACCTTATAGACTCTTATTGCTTCTTTTTGCATCAGTCGTGTAAATTATGAATTATTAGTACTTTTATTTGTATACTTCAGTGCATTTTGCCGATACAGCCACAGCTTGTTTGTGTAAACGTCTAAATTACGAGACTTTTTGTAATATTTATTGTTGTATTAATACTTTAAGTACTTTTTCCACCAGTTGAGATAAATTTACAAATGTGGTTGCCCTTTCATTTAACTCCCTCTTTAGCATTTATGAGCAACATTTAAATATTTATCAGCCTACACATGTCATAACACTACTTTTATGCAGTTACAATGTTACACATTTAAGTGTTTATTAATGTGCAGTATTTGTAACTTTTTCTATGAAGATTATTTGACATTAATGCAGTTTTGTGTTACTAGATTTCATTCATCATCCTGTGGACTTAAAGGTGTTGACAGTACACATGTGCCAACAACTAGAGCTTCTGCTTTTCTTTTTAATAAGTCACTCTTTACAACTTTTTAAAAGTTCTAACAAACAGTTTCATTAATCGTCAATAAATAATTAACCAAAGTTTCAAAAGAGGCCATTCATAAGAACAAGGTTTAGGTTGCCACATTGTGACTGATGCTTGCATCCTCAGTCCTCCCAAGTTTTTAACTCGTAGTTCCACCAAAGTGTCTCAGAGAATGTAAGAAATCGATAATGTGTGTAACTGCAGAACTTAAATAATAAAAGTATTTACTGTGAGGGGATAAATAAGCAGAAGAAACAATTGCAAGTGAGATAATCACAACAGGGTTTTAAACTGATCTTTAAAGTAGAGCAAGGACAAACAGTAGATGTTTGCACTTATTGATCAACAGGAAATAATCTGCAACTGTTTTCTATTGTGAGTCATCTTTTAAGGAAAAGTACCAAACATTTCCAGCTACTTCAAAATTCTAATGGAAATTTCTTGATTTTCAGTTGGATGGAATCACATGGTTCTTTTTTTTTTTGAAGTTTTCCTGGCATCCAGAGCCACATAGCTCCTCTACAAAGGAGGACAATTAATAGATAAATGGAAAAAAAACTGATTAAATCCAAGAGTTAAAGCTTTACAAAGGGGTGTCTTGTACAGTTACCCTCAGGGGAGGCACTTAATAGTATCATTACGTTATTACATAATGAAGTTAATTATTTTTACATTAAAAGTTCACTGTTGTTTATCCCTGTAGGTTACAAAACAAGCACTGCTGGACATAGACAAGCTTTCATGCAATTTTCTCTGCATAATTTACGTTCAAAGTCCCTGAACTTTGAGCCAAGAAACTATTCCAAATATCTGAGCTGCAGACATGAGGACAGGGTGAGGTGAGGCGCTAGAGAGAAGCGGAGAGAGGAAGGAGGCAGGGTGAATGTGTGTGTGTGGAGCAGAGAGGGAGGGAGAGGTGGTGCAGTCGAGCACAGTGCAGCGGCAGTGAGAGGCGCGACAGAGCGGAGGTGACAGCGGAGAATGGAGAGGAGAGCGTCCGCCCGGCGAGCTTTGACCGCGGCGAGCCAGGAGAAGCCACTCGGTCCTTCCCTTCTGGAGCCTGCGTGCTGAAAGAAACCGGGAGGAATTTTAACTAGGGGGGAAAAGGAAAGGAATGGCTGATCCTCTGCGGAGGACTTTACTAGCGAAACTCCGGGGGAAGAAATCCAAGAAAGGAGCGACGGTCGGCGGTGGATACGGCTTTGCTGCTGCTGCGGCGAATGGGGGACGAGAAGGTAAAGAAAAAGTTTTGCAGCGAGACTCCGGTGAGGCTCAGCCGGTAGTCCTGCTCACTGGGCTGGACTGCACGACAGAGAGAATGAGTACGTACGAGAATTGTGTTGACGGGGCGATGGTGCAGACAGGGGGGGCCGTGAGAGTCCCGGAGAGCCGCGCGTCGGAGCTGTCCGGCCGCCGTCCCCAGGAGCGGAGCCACGGGGGCAGGGTTTGGGTTAACGAGCAGCTCCCTGGGGTTCAAAGAGCCGAGCAGTTTGGGGGAAACGCGTTCGGGGAGGGAGACGGGAGCCACCGGGGGCCCGGGTCCGCCGAGCAAACCACGGCGGGACCGCATGTGCAGAGAAAGCGCTTCGTGTCGGTGCCCAGGCAGCGCAGCGTCGGAGATTCGATCGGGTTTGGGGACAATTCCAATCACGTTTTGTTCCGGGCGCAGGTACACGCGGGGGGCGGTCAGGCAGCAGAGGGCCGGGTCCCTGCTGCTCACAGCGAGGCTACAGAGCCCAGATACACCCGGCGCATGGCTGGGACTGTAGTGGCTGTACAGGAACGCAACGCCAACTGGACTTTTGACAGCAGCGCAACTTTGGAGACGATCTCCCCAAATTGCGCGGCACTCGTGTATCCAAATTGCATGTCCAAAATCGCGGAAGAGAACCTTTTAATCAGTAATCTTGAGAGCTACGGGCCCGACGACTATGCAGGGGACATTAGAGGGACTGCAGGCGGACTGCAGAGCCCGACTTTTTTCCCCACCGAGTTAGAAATATGCGACATTAACATGGCATCCCTGTGCGCCACGGAGGGCTCACTTAGATACCCTTTAGACAGCGAAGATGACGATTACTATGACAATGAAATTCTGCCCTTTTATGAAACGATTAGGACAAAAAGTGATGGTGACAGAGCAGAGGTTGCAGAGCTCACCCAGCCTGGTCAGGATAAAGGACAGGGCGATGACAGCAGCAGTGCGCAGGAAACAGACAGGCTTAGGAACCAGCTGAAAGAGGCTTATTACCTCCTTATCAATGCTATGAATGATATCAACCTGGATGTGCAGCAGATTAGTGGTGGTTTAACTGAGCAGCAGGCCACCTCCTCCTGTAGTAGCCACTCCAGGGACAGCCTGTGCTCCAGGTTGTCAGTCAAAAACATGGACAGCGACTCCTGGTCCTCAGGAGGAGACCACAGCCCCCAGCAGGTGTCCGACACCGACTCCCTCCTGCTCTGCCTCACTGGGAATCTGGAGCCAAAGGCCAGGCTGAACAGTAAGAGCATGGCGAACCTGTGTTTGACCAAAACAAGACCCACATTATTGCGCTCTGCTAGTGATGGAGCTATCAGGTATCCGGGCAGACCCTCAGCTTGTATTCAAGGTGCTGGAACGCAGAGTGCAGAAAATGATAAAGAAGCTGCAGAGACAAAAGGAGGAGCGGGAGACCGTGAGCTGTCTGAACCACGGGTGCTTTGCAGTGCCATCAGCAGTGAGGAGCTGCTGCAAGATGCTGGAGGTGAGGAGGACCCCGGCGGGCAGCTCAACGAGAGCAGTGGCTCGGTCAACAGCCTCACAGGTTCTTCAGACAGCAACGCAGAGGCAGCACAACATCAGGGTCACGACTGCAAGCAGGAGCTGACCGAGGTCCGAGCTCAGGCGGCCAACTCGGTCAACAAAGGTCACGGTGTCACTGTCAACAAGATGCAAGAGTGGATGCACAAGGGCCGCTTGTTGTCCACTGAGATGAAGCAGCGCATTGAGGGCTCATCTTTGCCCCGTGGTGGAGGCCAAACCCAGGAGCGGCCCTGTCCTCAGGCTCACCTGCACTCATCCGGACGAGGGGGTAAATCTGTCAAGGCCAAGTCACCTACAATCAAGTCACCTCGACAGCCAGGTAGGAAGGCTACACGGCGTGGGCCTCAGCTCCCGTGGATCCTCTAAATCAGAGGCCTCTCACCCTCCTTCCTCCCGTCTGATTGTTATCATCCTCCTCCACTCATAGTACACTCCGTCTGGTGGCGGCCCAAACCCTGCACTCCTCCTCTTCTGGATGCAAAGCAAAGGGACGAGACACCTCAGACCTCTTGCTTTCCTTTTTATTTTATTTTTTTTTTACGATTCTCTAACCGGTGGCGGGTTCTGTCCTTCACACTAATTTAGGTGCATTTTAACACTGAATTGATAACACATCGGGTCGTAGGTCGGATTACTCACAGTGTAGTTCAGTAACAACTAACTCACTCTCTTGCTAGAGCGTGCTGGTGGTGGGGTTTGTGTGTGTGTGTGTGTGTGTGTGAAGGAGATTTGATTATTTGATTATGACCAAGATGCCAAATGATTTTCTAAATGTGCTTTGATGTTCTGTTTGTAATGAGGTGTGAAGACATGAAAACATCTGTATCATGAAACCACTGACCATAGCAGTTATCTGTCATGCACTAATGAGTCTATTGAGGTGCTTAGAATACAAGTTTTCTGAATATATAATGTCGGAGATAATATGCAAATGGTCAGTGGGCACAGTGGACAAAACTGTCTCACTACAAAGTCTGTTTAGTACCTGTTCTGAAGCTTCCACTCATGTCATTCTATCTTTTCCAGCAGATGTCCTTTGCCCTGTTTGCAACTGAAATGTGTATGTTCTAATTTAAGGACCTCTCATGCATGTTTGCTCAAAAGATAAGCTCAAAGCTTATTCTTAATTTCAGGAAGAGTTGAAGCAATCTCACCACAAGGTCCCTTTATCCGTTTTTATACCCACTTTCCCCCACATTTACTGGAATTAATACTTTGCACCAACCTTAGTGTCATGCTAACATGTATTTAACTGGTTGTACACCTTGGGCATTTATTTAGGCAGCATTTCAAAGGTTTTGGATACAGTTTCATGAAATTAAAAGTCCTTTTTTCCCCACACTGACTTGATTTAACTGCAAATTAGACAGTTTTTATCCAAGGATTCGGAAACTTTCTGTGCAGAAAACTTTCTGACGTTTGTTGCGCAGGATGTGGAAGCGTGCGGATGAAAAACATGCATGTGCCACCGCGCATCGTCATGAGCGTGTGTGTTGTTCTCACAGTGTTTACCAGGGTAAATAGACGACCGGCCATGTGCGCAGCTTGTTGTTGACTGTCAGTGTGCTGTACAGCTAGAAATAGATGTGATGTGCGAGGCTGCTGAGCAGAAGGCCTCTGTGTTTGACTTCTAGCCGCTGCTGGCTCAGTATAGCTCCAACTCTACAGCTCTTTCCTCTCCTGTCTTTTGGTTAAAATAAAGTCTTGTAGATATTAGTTTCCATACACCCCCCTACTCCATTCTCATTTTTTCCCCATTTTGCTCAGCTTTCCCTTCTCTCTGTCCCCACTGAACTTTTCCACAGCTGTGGCCAGAGGAATCCAAAGCAGGAGAGAAGCCACTGCAGTTATTTTCTGTGGTAGTGGAGTGTGCTGGTGTATGTGTGTGTCCGTGAATGTGTGTGTTTGTTTGAGAGCGGGGGG